TAAAAAACCTTTTGGGAGGAATGACATGCATTTTATGTTAAAATATATTAATCTTGAATATTATTATTGGCCTCAGATACTATGGTATTAGCTATCAGTATAGATAATGCTTTGCAGACAGTGCTTAGTTGACACATTTTCAGCCTTAAATCCATCTTAAAGTTTTTATCTGGAAACTTGATAGTTTTCTAAAAGGCATGAGAAAAATAGCTCTGGTGACCACTGCTGGTTTCAGAGGCAGAAATGTATTTGTGAGTAGTCTCCACAGAACAGCCATGATTGAACCTGTCCTGAACTCCCACCAGCCAAACTTACCACAGGAAGAGCTCCCTTTTAGGAGAGGCAACAGAATCATTAAATCATGTACTACCACAGCTCCAAATCCTTCGCCCTTTGCCACATCTTGTGGTTGCAAGGGGCCCACTCACATTTCCCACTCCTCCTTTCACATTTCCCCTTCATAAGACCCAAATGTCTTCTCATCGCTCTATGACTGATAACTTGCCAACAGCTTTTGGCTGTAGCATGACTTTTTTCTCCCTTTACAGAGTTTGTTGACTCTTTCATACTTTGCAGACCATCCATTCTACCCCAGTGTTGTGTTCACATTTTTTAAATATTAGTAACATAAGCCACTGCAGAATGGCTATACATCCTGCAAGGGTCTATTGTCATGGTCCAAAGTTCTACTAAATCTCATTGTTGTAGAGTGAGGGAGAAGAAGTCTCCACGCACCCCCCCTCCCCCCATACTCCCCTTCCCTGCAGTGCAGCAGGGAACAGATAGATGGTCGATTGCTAGGGGAGAGAGAAAACCTGGCCCCAAGTAGAACTAAGAGAAGCCCTGGGACATACTCTTACTTAAGGTGCAGCAAAGAAGCCAGCAGATTGGCCATTAGGGAGATAAGAAGCAGCTGTGGAGACTGGAAGCAGGAAGAGAGAAAGAGAAAGTGAAGCTGTCAGGCTGCAATACCTCGTGGACAGATGTACGAGGAGCACCAAGGTTCCTGTTCTTATGTTGTGTTTACTTCTGTTATAATACTGGTGATTTGTGGAGGTAGTGTAGGGGTGGTGGAGCTCCCAGCCATCGAGGCCCTGCTCAGACTCACAGGGCACCCAAACTTGAAAGTCTTGCCATCCCTTAAATGGACAGGCCCTAATTTTGAACTGTGTTTTGGACTAGAACTATAAGTGTAAATCCTGCCTATAAAATGGATTACATGTAATTCATGGTGAACTTCCCCTTGTTCTGTAGATCAGTGGTTCCCAATCATTTTATACCATGGACCGCAAATGACTGTGAAATGGCAAACCGTGGACAGGTAAACTGCAGACTGGAAGTGACCGGCATACTGCAGACTAGCAGCCAACCCTTTTTTTATACTCAGTATAAAAAAGGGTTGGCTGCCAGTCCACAGTATGCTGGTCATTTCCAGGCTTCTGGTCTGGCAGCCAACCCTCCTGTAGACCGGCAGCTAACTCTTCATGGCCCAGTATGAGGCTGTGGCCTGGGGGTTGGGAACCTCTGCTATAAATTACAATTCAACATCAAGTCATGGTGGGTGAGTAGATAATAGAGGCAGTGACACCCCTAAATCAATTATGGTCCAGGGAGCACCCAGTTAAGGGCACCTTCCCTCAATGCTGCCACCATGCATAAATGCTGGGAGCTCAAAAAGAGTCATATAGTTCCCCCAACCAATCAGCCACAGCATGATACAGACATGGAGGGGCACAGCCAAGTTGCATCTAATGATATAAACCAGGGGTTGTCAACACTGGTTTACAAACTGGTCAGGGGAGGACCAGCAGGCATTGGGGGGAGTCCCTGTTCCCCCGAGCACTACCAGGAGTGACAAGAAATAATGGTCACAAGCTGGCAGAGGGTAGATTTAGGCTAGACATCAGGAGGTGCTACTTCACTGTCAGGGCGGCTAGGATCTGGAACCAACTTCCAAGAGAAGTGGTGCTGGCTCCTAACCTGGGGGTCTTTAAAAGGAGGCTGGATAAACACCTTCCTGGGGTCATTTGACCCCAGTACTCTTTCATGCCATGGCAGGGGGTTGGACTTGATGATCTGCTCAGGTCCCTTCCGACCCTACTAACTATGAAACTATGAAACACGTGCTTGAGAAGGCCCTAGGGGTACACGTGGGCGGGCAGAGACGAAGTGCTGCCACACACCATCCCATGTTGCTGCGCAGGTGCTGCCCACCCAGCTGGACGTGGGGGGCAGGGGAAGCTCACACAGCAGCTGTTGCTGCTCCACATTCAGCCATGCCCCACCCCCTCCACCCCCCCCTCCGCATCTGGCCACCAGGGGTACGCTGCTCTGCATCCAACCACCGGGGGTACACTGATCCAAAAAGGTTGAAAACCCCTGATATAAACAATAAAATCAAATCATCCACTTAAAAAAATTTAAAGAAAAAGAGAAAAAAACTGCCTAAGAACCAACTAAGACCCAAGTCTTTGCCAAAGACAACAAATAACATCCAAATAAGAACTTTTTTAAAGAAAATATAGTACTTGAAGTAAAGTAAAAAAGCATTCACATTTGAAACCATCATCTATAACAAATGGCTTGTCCAATTGAGTTCACTTTCAAAATAAAATTTGAATGGATAATCCACAGGGCAATGGCTTAATCACTGAGGGTCAAATCAAGATTATGAATCAGAAGTGAGTTACAGCTTTTGTAGAAAGAAATTACCATCAAGTTCAAGTGTCTCATAATAATCATCAGTAATCTGTTTTACATTACTTCACCTTCCCCTCCCCTTTTTTGGGTGATCTGACAGCTGGGTGTTTCTAAATGAAACACAAGATGAAGCTGTATCTACAAGTATTGTTATTTAGTCAAAATTGGCTTCACATTGTGTTAGGCACAATTGAGCCATTGTAGGTAGTTACAGTTGTCGCCCCAAAGAGGTTACAATCTCAGAAGCCAAGGAGCATGTTAAGGCTTGCCAGGTAGGAATCAAATATGCACAGACTATATGTATACACAATGGCTAGTTTTAGGATTATTTATTTTAGCTGTATTAACAACATTGACTTTCCCCTACTGCCCTTCAGTAGGAACAGCATGGCTGATTCCCTAAAGAAGTAGGTGAGGGGAAGGGGCATCAAGGATAACAGGGTAGCAACCTGATGGGTAACTTCTAGAAGAGGATTCTGTGCACATTGGGTAGCATGGAACAAAGTATCAAAGGGCACATCTACATGAGACACTTTACCATGGAGCCAACTAATCAGCTCCACAGTAAGGCATCACCATCTACACATGCAGTGCTATTAAAATAGAGTAAACTAATAATTGCTGCCATAGGATAGTACTGCCCCACACAAGTACTATCCTACAGCGGCATTATTTAGTGTGCTGCAACACACGTGTAGACGGTGACTGAGACTGGCTGGGGCATAAGGGTGCTACAGTGCGTGTCTGCCTGCTAGCTAGCCCTGCACTGTAGCATCCTTGGGCCCTAGCCAGCCCCCCTGCAGCACGTTGAGCCAGGGCAGAGCAGCCCTGGACTGGCAAGCTGAGCCCCTGGGTCCCCTGCCAGCTGGGGCTGTGCCACCCTGGCTCAACATACTCCAGTCCTGGGCACATGTGCAAACACTGTGCCTGGGAGCAATAAACTCGAACACAAACTGCATCGGAGTTTATTGCTTCTGATAGCATGTATAGATGTGCCCAAGGCATATATGTGAACAGTTTTCTGTCTGACCCATGGAAATAAACTTAAAAACAAGCAAAGTTGTCTTTTGTGCTTTTGTTGGTACCTGTCATTGTTGTGGTGTGTTAACTATTTTGCGCAACTAATAAAGTCTCTCTGTTATAAAAGTGACATCTATTTATTTTTCTTAGTGTAGCCTATTTTGATGAGAGCCCTTAAAGATATTATAGCTACAGCAGACTTTCTTTGTATGGTTGCTTACAGAAGAGCTGATGAAAATGGCTGCCTTGTGAAATTAGCCAGAAAAATATGTAGGTTTATTTTGTGGTGAAATTGAGCCCTAGCCATTTTCCCTAGATGACATTTCCTAGCTTTTTTTTTTTATAAAAATGCAGAGGGGAACAATGGTGATAACTGCTACAGACTAGCTGGACAACTTTGACTGAAGGCTGCACAAACCTGTGTATGGAGAGCCTCTTGTTGTAAGTAAGATGAGCCTGTTATGTTCTGCAGAGCAAGTCTGAACGGGAAGAAATGAAGAGGAAGTGCCCATCCCAGCTCTTCAAAATGGCTCTGAGCTGCCTTTTACACAAGTTTCTTCAGCCTCAGGAAATTTTCTACACGTTAATACTACCAAATCATCAAACTGCCCGTGGGATCAACATCTGATTGCTGAGATCACTGGGAAGCTACCCCACAGATAATGAGATGCAGTTTCAGAGACATTCATTACTGTTACGTTTATAAGGTTGACTGTGCCTCTGTCCTGTTTGGGTAACCCCCTGCATTACTGCAGGTATTAACATGTATAGGAAAGCTCTGTGTCAGTCCAAAAATGGCTGAAAATGCTACCTTTTTGCTGTCAGTCAAAGATCTAATCATGTTTTAAATCAGTCCTGGTTAAAATCATCTGTAGGACGGCGAAAAGGTCAAAGGTTTGCAGGTTTAGGATTTCGTGGGAATATATGCTTGTTTGGACTTGGCCCAAGAGCTTAGTTTACCTGTTTGACAGGTAACAATTAGAGAGTAATAGCTTGCCTAGCTGGAATGTAGCTGCTGAGGCCCAGCTCAAAGGATTTGGTTTACCTGTTCGGCAGGTGTGGGCTGTAGAACTGGGATAGGTATGTGCACGCACAGCATTCCAGAGAGTCAGTTTTCTCTTAAAGACACAGTCATGACTGCAGGGCACAAAAGGGCTGGGTTTAGCCCTGCCTGGAAGATGTTAGTGATTTGCAAAGTCAAGAAGCAACTAATATAGTGGCAGAAAAGACAAAGGAAAAGCCTGCCGAATGCCAGGTCTTCTCTTCTCTTTTCCATTCAACTGGAGATGGGACTGTTTGATTGTTGTTCAGAAACAGTAAGAAGTGGTAAACTAGGTACAAGTAAAATGCCAAGGGTGTTAGAAAGGGCAAAAGCGAAGGGGTTGCAATGTAGAGGCTGCCTGAGCAAAGCCTTGCTCTGTGGTTTCCTCAGTTTATCTCCTAGCAGCAGTTACGGGTTGCAGGTAAGGCTGAGCAGACTGCTAGAAGAACCGTGCTGAAGAGTTTTCTTTAGACTTTGTTCACCAGTGGCAAGAATAATCAACATATTCTGAAAGAGAAATATGACCTTGAAAGAAAAAAATCACCCAGCTCCAAGTCTTAATGATAATCTAGGCAGAGTTTTACATCAAACTACCCATGTAGTCAAATCCCCAGAGTGAGAGGGGCTGAAAAATTGGTTTTGTATAAATTATACAGACTCTTGGACATTTTGAAGGTATTCTGAAAATGTTTGATGCTTCTACAGCTCTCTACACCACACTGCATTCTACCATACAGTTTTACAAATAGGAAGTTTCAATCAGTTTTCAGGTAATGCTTTTTCATTTAATGAATAAACTCATGCATTTAGATTTTTTCTCTCTCATACCTGATAATTGAACAATCATTGTGTTATCCTGGACCAGGCTCTTTACCTTTCTGTGTCATTTCTGTCTGTGAAGTGAGCTCTTTGTAAAGCCCTGAAATAGACAGATGAAAAATGCTAATTATTTCACTGGGAACACAGAGGGTACATCTACATGAGACGCTTCAAGCGCACTAGACACATTCTACTGCACATTAATGTGGTGGGCAAAATCCATCTTCATGCACTAATGTGCTAATGCACAGTAGATTTACTCTACTGTGCATTAACATCACAAAAAGACCATTCGTTTACACTAATGTGCAGTAGCACTGATTATGGCGCATTAACAGGACAGTATAAGTACTAAACTTAATGTGCCATTATTGCATTATTATATGGTATAATAATTAAATTATATGGTGCAATAACATTAATAAAACCCCATCCCTGTGCCAATAAGTCCTACTGCTGTCCGAAACTGGCTGTTACAATTTGAAAAAAAAAATCCGCATCTCTGGGTACAATATGGTTCACAATATTGCTGCTATCTTATACCATATAACAGTGTCTTAAATATACCTGACCTAAACATTTTGTAAACATTCAGTGAGAGGATTCAGAAGAATTTGAAATACTGAAAAAACAGCCAGTATACCTAACCCTTCAGGATTCAGCTTAACATAATCAGTTTTAGAGACACGTGCCCAGGAAGAGATGAATGAACAGATACAAGGGGAAGAAGGCAACATTAATTCCACAGACCTGATGCATGTCATGGAGACTTGTCATTCTTAGTAAGCCTGTTCGCTGGTTGGAAGGACTTCACGCTTATTAGACTGTCCACCATTTTTACAAGTCATAGAAACTTACAACCAACATATCCTTAAACATTTGATGGTGGGCCTATACCTGTTAGCAGGATTCTGAAGAAGAGCTTCAGGAAGCAATTTGGTGTTATACAAGGAGTCTGGAGAATAACATTTTAAGGTCTCCTTTTCTTTTTATTTACTGGAAACTGCTTATTAAGAATTCACTAAATAGAGCCTCACTGAAGTGGGCTCCAGGGAAAGCAATGTTTGAGAAGGGCGAGAGCAGAGGAATTCACGACCACAAACTATTCACAGGTGTCAGAATCAAGAAAGGGAGAAATAATATACATGTGACCATTCTTTGTTCTGAAAATTGGGGATATTTTTTTTAAACCAGAGAAAACCGGGATCCCTGGACATAACTAACCATTCTGAACACCACCCTTGCATATATGTAAGCCTTTCTTTACCAGGTGAGTAGGAATAAACCATGTTTTGATGGTTCATTTAATACAAATCATGCCATGTATTATATGCAGAGCTGATATCACATTTTTTATGTTGCATGACACTTCCATTATAAGACCTGGATACCAGTTGTTCATAAACAGGCCAAAGATTTCCATGGTGAGTGTGTGCATCAGGCCGAATTATTTCAGAAAAATATCAACCAGAACTGTTCAGTTGTTCCCAAGAGTGAGCTTAGAGTAGCAATATAGAAATATCTGCAGTGTCATCAGAGGTCTAAATTCTATCAGGAGACTTTAACTTTCCAGATATAAATTGGAGAACCAATGCTACTAATCAGAGCTGGCCTTAGGGAAAAGACACCTTGGGTAAATTTGTATTTTGGTTCCCCCCACCCCCAAGTCAGTGGCACTTCTGAAGTTGAGAGCAAGGTGGGCGGATTGGAGCAGGTGCTTCCCTATCTGCACATGCCCTTCCTGGCTCCTCCTGAGCAGCAGCTGGAGGCAGGGAGCTGGCTAGGCTAGGCAAGGCACTGCTTCTCCTGCCTGGGGTGGGGTAGGGCAGGGTGAGACAGAGTGGAGGGAGAGCATTGCTACCAGTGCAGGCTGCTAACGTGTGTGTGTGCACGCGCGCGCGTGCATATGCATTTGGCGCCCCCTTAATTATGGCATTCTGGGCAGTCACCCATGTTGCCCACCTCTAAGGCCAGCTCTACTACTAATGACAGTAGACCCCAACTACTCCTAGAAGTGGTAGCTAACCACTTTCTTCAACCAAAAGCAGGTGATACTATTTGAGACTGGGCTTTGCTAAATAGTTAAGACATTATGAAAGAGCTGGTCTTGGGAAATATATTTTGATCCAGTGAACAACACAGATTCAGTTCAAGTTTTTATGGAATGATGAAGACCTGCAACTAAAATTCTCGATTTCCTAGGAGAACCAGATAAGAAGAACCTAGGAGAACCAGATAAGAAATCAGTTGCACTGAAATCTCAAGGACTTGAATATGAAGGAGCTTGGGATGCCTTCATATTAAAAGTACAGAAATTAAATGAAACCTATTCCAAAAAAGGGCAAAAATATAGTTAAGAGTTCTAGTTTTAAACAAATGAGGAACTAGCTCAACAAAGATACTGAGAAGAAAGAGAGAGCTAAAGGGTGCAGACAGATGTTAGGGCCCTGCTCTAGCTCATGGCTCTTTACATAAAGTGCCATGAGTTAGAGAGTCCCCCCTCCCCCCAAGGCCAACAGAGGTTCGCCTGTTGGGTTGGGGAGAGGGGGGCCTGGAGGGAGCCTGTACCAGCCCAGGCCAGTAGGCGGGGGTGCTCCAGCAGCCCCTCAGGAGTCTGCCAAATGCCCCCCCGAGCCCGAGCCCCACCCCCCAGCCTTGGGGCTGTCAGAGCTTCCAGCTCCAGAATGGCCAGAGCTGGGGGCAGGGAATGCGGTTCCCTCACCTCACAGTCCCATCCCAGCCACCCTGACTGGGGTATTGGGGGAGCTGAGTTAGGCCCCCAAGGTGAGGGAGCTCCATTCCCCACCTCAGCTCTAGCCATTCAGCAGCTGGAAGCAGCCAGCATGGAGCTACCAGCTGCTGAATGTCCTGAGATTAGGGGAGAGGGGGGAAAATGGAGCCCCCTCAGCCCAGAGGCCCAACCCAGCTCCCCCCCATACCCCAGCTGGGGTATCTGAGGGGGGCCTGAGGCAAGGGGTTTCTATTTCCCTCTCCTCCCCTGCAAGCTCTGGCCAATCAGCAGTCAACAGCTCCCTCTCCTTCCCCGTGACAGCCCAGGCACCAGCCCAGCCCTGCCCACTATATGAAAAATTAACCCTGGAGGGAACACAAGTTCCCTAAGGTGGTCTATTTTTGAGCACCTTAATGCAATACTCAATGTAACCAGGGTTAATTTTTCATATGATCAAGCCATTTTGAAACCGCTCTGCAGCCATGCACATGTTAATTCATGGCTATAGAGTGCTTTCAGGGGCCAGATCACTCAAAAATTGTCACTTCTGTCTGTGCCCAAAAGGAACAGACAATAGGACTAATCAACATAGAAAGTCATGTAGAAGGTGGAGCAGGGTGACACCATAGAGACTAACTTATTCAGAGAATGTTATGTGTTAGAATTCAAGAACTGCAGGAGTGAAGAGGGAATTGCCAATAGTCAAACTGAGTTAGACCTTACAAAATGTTCTTCAGTTATAAATAGAAAGAGAACAAAGAAAGAAGAATGGGGCTGCTGCGCAGTGCGTAGGTAGAGAGTATAAAGAATTGAAGTTGGCACCAAATCTGTATGTATATTTTGTGTCAGTTTTCAATAAGGCTGACGTAGAACACAAAGTCAAAAGGCAGGCTTCCTAATGGAAATTAGATTACACAATTGAGAAGTGTTACATCTAAGGTGGACAAAACACACCAATTGCTAAATGTGCTCATGTCTGGGGGACCAGATAATCTCCATCCCAAAATTAAGAAAGAAAGGCAAGTTCGGTAAGGAAGTGGCTAATGATGAGATAAGAATGAGTTTGGCAGAAACTATCAGGCTGGAGGGAGGTTACTTGTGGAGTTCTTAAGACTAAGGCTTGTTAAATATGTGCATTAATGACCCTGGTACAAAGAGCAGGAGCGTGCTAGCAAAGTCTACTAATGACTCAAAGATAGGAGGCATCATCAATACAAGAAGAACTGGAAGACTGAAGGAAGAAATGGCTGACTGAGGAGTAACAGAAATGAGGTTAAGTGTAAGAATTGTAAGTGTATGGTCATATGCTTGGAGACTGATCATAAGAATTTCTGTTATGAACTAGGACCTCATCATTTGAAAATGACAGGAAAAAGACCTGGGTGTAGTCATCAATCATGGGATAACAGAGAGCCACCAACATGACACAGCAACAAGGGTGGATTCTGGTGGAGAGAGGTACAGCAGCATAACCACACCCTGCCATTTGGAAATGCAGTGCATGCGCAGTGGATTCTCTTCCTTTGATTTCATGTTCTATCTCCCTGTATCCCTGTATGTGCAGTTGGTGCTCTGAGCTCACCGACATATCAGCACAGCTCCAACCAGAGCTCTGCACATGCCGCAAGCACTGAACTCACCAGCTGATCTGGTTGGCACCAGCTCATCAGCTGAGCATACAGCTCTGGAGCCCAAATAGTGAATGTTGCCATTGTTCACCCTCCCTTCTTCCTGCTTCCCCCCCTCCGCCCCCCCCCCCCGACACACACACACACACACACACACTGAATTCAGCAGCAGGGGAAAAGAGCAGACAAGTGGTAGGTAGCAACACTCAGCACTAAGTGCTGGAGTTGCCCAAAAGCAGGTGCTGAGTGCCACCACCACTGCTCATCCCTTCTTTCCCCCTGCTGCTGATTTCAGTGTTGGGGTAGGGAGAGTAAACAGTGGAGGCACTCACCCCTTGAGCTCATGCATGGCACTTGCCACACTGCCAAAGGGGGTATGCAATTGCACCCTCCTCACTGCAATCCTGGATCTGCCCATGCACAGCAATGAAAACAACAAACACAATCTTATGATGTATCAGGCAAAGTATTTCCAAAAAAAGAGAAGGAAGGACCAATGCCAGTGTACAAGGTGCTACTGAGGCCTCATCTGAAGTACAGTACTGGGTTCTGATCACCCATTTTAACAAAGCAAATTGAAACAGAAACAGGTGCAGAGAAGGGTTGTTGTTAATAATTGGGGCTTGGGTTTGGGCCAGATGATAGCCCTGGAAGAAGAGCTAAGAGGCAGCTGGAGGCACTGAGCCAGAAATCTGGGGCCAGACCATAATCAAGTCTGTAATCAATGAAGTGCTAGAATCA